GTAGTCTAATCCCTTCCATTTGCACTCCAAAAACACAAGTAAAGGTATCATTTATGTACCACAAAGTGATCTAGTATTATTCTCTAAATGACATTTCTAACAGAATTTAATACTCATAATCATATCAACGTAATCACACAACTTTCTGAACTGGTTTTTATAGCTTAGTACAGCTAAGCAAATAACTTCATCGAAAAGAAAAAAATTTTTCTTCGTTGCAACCATCTGTTTCGTCTTTCACAGTTCTTTTTTATTTGATCTGTAGTAGGAGTTTCTATACATTTGGAATCGATGTTGCGTCATTCCGATTACACTTATTTGGTGTTGAGTCGAGGAACAGAGATTCAGTGATCAACCTATATCTGCACTTAACTACATTGGTCTTCAGGACTGTAACTCTTTCCCACCCCATTGTGTGGTTGTGTGTTATAGCATGCATGGCTTTGGATATATTTTTCTCTAGATTGCTCATATTAGTAGAGGCTATCGATCTAAACTTACCTACGTTCTTATGATCCATTAACTTGACTAAAGCCGTTCAGTTAGTCTGATCTGCGTACTTGACGTCACAGTCATTTCAAGTTATTGAGTAAGTAAGATTTTTCATATTACTTTGATGTAATTATGCTGTATAACAGAGTAACCTAATTCTTTTCCTTAACAAATTTAAATACAGCGAGAAAAACACCTTTAGCATAATAGCAAAGATCTGTTTGATTTCGCGGTTTCTCATTAGCTGCTTGCTTGCAATCTGAAACCGTTTTAACATCAGTTTATGTAGGCATTTGTACACTTGAATCAGTTTGAATGAAAGTTGTCCACTTGAATTAAAAATAACGTTGCTATAAAATGATTGAAAATACGGGAATTTAGTGAGTAAATATGCGCAACTAAGTTTGCTGATTTCAGGTTGGTATTCACTATGGACTGAAATAAGTTGGAGAAACATTGGAAACCTGGAATCACTGAGCCGTTGTTTCATCCTAGTGTGCGACTCCTCAACAATATGCACCCACTATTTGGGAGGATTATATCTCAAAGCGGAAGTTGGATAAGAGGCAGAGATGATTGTATTCAACATACTGAGAGAGGTTGCACAAGATAAATGAAAGAAGGTTATAAGACTTGTATTAACTGAGAGCTAATGTGAGTAAAATTCAGATGATTAGACCAACGATGTGAAATGTAAAATAACAAAAAACCAACTTGTATGATTTGACAGTGACACGTAGAAGTCTTGATAACTTTCAGCAAAACAACTCTTTACCTTGGTTAGCACAAACTGATAGCGGTCCTATTTCTTAATTTTTTAATGGCTAACAATTCAATGAAACGCAACAAATTCGAACTCATCCATTTAGTAATTATTTCGAACGATTTCTGAATATCAACTTCATGTTCACTGTCCATGAGGTGGACAGCAATGGTGGTGTTGAAGACTTTTCCACTTCTCAGTCGGAAATACCTTGTAATCTGTTCAGACATGCGATTACAAACCACTCTTTCTTTTCATCTAATGTGTGAACTTTGGCATGTACACTTGAATTGGTGTATGTAGTTGGAAGTAACATGAAGAAGGGACTTGTCAACCTTTGATTGTCTTATTGAGTAATTCCTTCGGTAGAGTGGGATTAACCTAGCTGATGGATAAGTCCTTTTTAAGGCAGTATTTATTCTGTAATTAATTCTTCCCCAAATATCATCACCATTGAAACCAAGATTTAGGAAAGCAAACTTCTTCTCGACTATATCATATCTTGCGGTTTTAGTCGATGCACTCTTGTGCTTACTGGTGAATTCCTATGGATATCCGTTATAATGCAGGTAGTTCCCCACAATATTCACTTTCACTTCCAGTGTCCATTTCGAACAAAGATGTTTTACGCGGTTGAAAAGTGTTTACACTAGCACTTTCTTATGGCCAATGGGATAAAAGCTATTGAAGTTAATAAACATATAACTCCGAGAATCTTTACTATGAATACATCCAAACATATTACATTCCATAGTTCGCTGAATTTCGAGGTCAAGGAAGTAAACTTATCATTCTCTTCATATTCCATTGTAATTTCTATGTTTTAGTGTGCTTTGTTGAGTAGGCTAAGTAAATATGGGACATGTTTCAGAAGACTGCAAACAACGAATGTATCATCAACATACTTCATACTCATACTACGTATTTATTCACTCATTTCGTGTATTTTTGATTATTTCATAATGACGTTATCTTCAAGTCGACAGTTTTCTGTCATATTGATTCAAGTATGCAAATGCTTACGTAAACTGATGTTAAGATGGCTTCAGGTTGTAAGCAGCTGATGAGAAACTGTTAAACCAGATGGATCCTTTCTAGTGAGTGATTTTTGGAAGTGAAATGAAAATTTGGACCACGGCCGGATTCGAACCAGCGACCACCGGGCTTCTGGCCCGATGCTCTACCAATTGAGCTACAAGGTCAGACCGCTGACCAGATTTGTCTGCCTAACCACGGCTATCTCAGATGGTCAAACTGATAATCAGATCCCTGCTATTCTGCTAAAGCTGTCGTTCTGGCCTAATTTAAGACTAATCTATTATGGAATGAGAAAAGGTGACTAAAGGAACTGTAAGGTACCTGTTATCAAAACAAGAGTTCATAATATTCCCTGTTTGTGATTAGAGTGACGCAAGTTGACTTAATTTGGTTGTGAGATAATTTCGTGTTGTCTTTAAAAGCAAAAGTGTTAAAATCACAGGTTGTTGTTTGTTCGGAATCAAGGAAGGAAGAAAAATAGTTTAATACCATACTACTGATTGAAATGTAAAAGCTATCTGAACATAGAAAAATTCCGCCGAAAGCTTAGGTCATATACAGACAACGTGGAAGCACCGCTGATCTGTTAAAGTGATCACCTTTTGGTCTGGTCACTCAGTGGTAAATAATATGAAGGTTTCTTCTCTCTAACAATCAGAAATAAAGTATTCTATAAACAGACGGATACAGTAATACCAGAGTAGAGAATATTTATTTATATAACAACTTGTACGGAATGACGAAAAGTTATTTTTCACAATTTATGTATCACCACTAATGGATGTACCGTCAAAGGAAACACTATGTTCAAAGTAACTTCTGTTTACAGAAAATCGCTTCTTCACATTTGGCTATTATGCTATGTTAAGCTCTCTGACAACAACTGTTTGTGATGTCAGCGAGGCTTATTGTTCTTTTTAGAACACATGGTTGACCTGAAATGTACTGATAGCAACTATTCTTCAGATGGAACTTTACGACATTAGGCCAGTTATTTTGCGAAAATATGACAATAGAGATTGATATAGGATCCTCAGAAAAATTCCAATTTGTCTAACACCAGATGATAAAAAAATGATGTCTTGCTGGATTTCATTACTACTGTTTGTTTTAACTTATCCTTATGGAAGAAATATTACTGTTTGATTCATTTAGTCAGCGAGATGCTTGTTAAAACTAATACCACTTAGATAAAGGTTGAAGGTGTCCCTACTCAAACATCCGAAAACTTAAGTAGCACTATTGTACATCATTTATACTTAAAACTGCAATGTACGAGGATATTGAGAATTTCGTGACAAGATGCTTTACAGTAACGTTAAGACATTCCTTATATCCAGGATTCACTTGACAATGGCAAGATTCGTCAACCTAATAATATTCTCTTTCAAAAGAATACTATTTTTTATTTCGCTGCCAGCATTCATGTTTTTACCATATTCTTTGGTTGATTATTAGACATTGAGAAATATTATATAGCTTAGGTATTTTAAATATGACCTACTTAGCTGGTAAAATTGTTCTCATTAGTGTAAGTTGAGCGTGTAAAATAGTTTATTTGTTTTCATTCTTCCTTACTGACTTTCCTTGAGACCTAATAATATTACAGATTGCATTTTGAGACAGTAGAAAGATTTGTAGCTCACCATGAGGACGAAAGTTGTTTGATGTTCTCCAAGATTTGGAGGTTTGTTCACTGTCCTTCATCACCACCGTTTCCTTATAAAGTAGTGAAGCACTTTCGGAGTTACATTAATATTTATAAAGAATATTTGTAACCTTTAGCATTTTTGGTTATGGTAAGGGTGACTTGTCTTCATAATTTTTCTGTATACACATTTATGTATTAATGTCGAATATACAATCTGAATGGTCAGATGGATCAAATACTCATTTCTAACTGTGAGGCAAAACAGGAAGAAAGTATACATTGGCAACTAGGATTCTGAAAGTAGCAGTGTTAAAACCACTTCATTGGGTGAAGATATCTGATATTATTTGGTAAAACACCTTATTAACTTATGCACTTGATGATTCAACGTGGACAACATTGGTAGTTAAGATCCCCTGACTAATACAAAATATCCATCCATTCTTAAAAGTGGCAAGACATTGGTATCTCCCTGCATTTCATTCCCGACACTTTCACATAATTTCATAATCAATATTTATAAACTTCTGCAACACATTTTTTACTATTTTCATTGCAGCTATCATATCCATTTTGTTGAATGCCTGTTTGACTACTCACCTGTCTGTTGGTGAGCCATGGTACTATTCTGAAGAAGTGATAAACTTTCTTTGGAAAGTATATTTTTATTAACCTAATGCAGAATACTTTATTCTCTGAAATGGTGATTTTTCTCATAGTCAAGAATGAATGCAATCGTCAGGTACAGGTAGATTTAAGTGATAAGTATTAAACAGGTGTTAATGTATGTTGTGTGTTGCATCGTCTGAGGTCAATAAAGCGTCACAATACATAAGCATAGTTATACTTATAACAGCAGGTCAGCTGAACTTTCCCTCATGATCCATGACAAACAAAGAGTATGTGAGGAGTTTTGTCTATTCACTGTTATATGTTGATCACACATGAGATAATTATTTCATCTAGACTCCATTCATTCTGCATACGTTCTTCAAGGAAGAATTGTTTCATTACTTATCAATGTCTTGTTTTTTTTTCTTCTCTCTACTTTTCTAGATTAAGCACTGGTTGAAAATTTAAGCGATAACATGACATCAGATAGATTAGAGTAATTATACATTTGCCTTTGCATTGAAAGAATTCATTGACTCTAACAGTTAACTGAAAGCTTTTTTGTATCTTACCTATTTTATAATTGTTTTATATCCAAAAATTTTGTTTGATATAAACAAATTGTATTTTCATTACAATATAAAACTATTGGAAATATTACTTCTTGATAATCTTTAAATGATCAGAAGTTCATTCCAGAAATGATCAATATAATCTAATTTTGATAGTGTTGTTTCCTTTGAGCTGGATGATTTATTTGTGAGGCTTTCATTGTCATCCTAGGCAATATCAAAAGTAAAAACTTCAGGGAGTTTTTGAAGTTGCTCGGCGTTACATGGAACTCCAAACTTTGATTGGTCTTTTCAACCTTATTATTCAGCTAAGTAAATCCATCATCTACGTACTTGAAAACATTATCTTAAAGTAATCTACACGAATGTCATATCAACTATCAACTACAAACTCTAGACGTGATTCTCCGAGCGTGGAACAACTTGCCTTGATGAAACAAGCATGTTGTTACTTTTATGTAGCAGTTACCGCGATACTTTATTGTAAACTTTAACCATATCAACTATGAACATTTCCTTGTTGATCAAATGTCCTGCATACTTAGACCAAGGTTCTCAAAAAGCCGTATGTCAATCTTTTTTAATTCCGAATTGATTTTATCAGTGATTTATCCACATTGTTTTAGCTAAGGTAACGGAACTGATGCATGGGTAAATTAGTGATATATAGAGTAGATTGGATTGTTGAAGTAAACCTTCGGGACTGTGGTAGAGTGTGGTTCCATTTTCATTTCATTTTTAGAAATGCCACACAATGATACAGTATCATTTACTGGATAACGTTTTGGACAAAAATTATTGTCCATATTCATATCAGGTAAATCCACAACTTCCAGACAGAGTTTATATAGTTCTTATTTTTTCTTCTTCTCTGTGATGACAAGGGTAGTGGAATTTTCCATATCTGGGATAGGTACAGAATGATTTCTATTATATGTATTTGGTGTTGATTCGATTAACAAGGATTCGATCATCAATCTCTCTCTCACCCGACTACGTTTTCAACAACGTCCCTCTATCTTACTCTATTGAGTGACTGTGTGCAACTACGTGGGGAGCTATAGCCGAACTGTTCTCTAAATTTCTCATTTTATTAGGACCTACTAATCCTGACCTAGCTAAGTTTTGTACTCTGTTATTCTAATCAACCCTGGTTGACTACTTTGACCTATGTATTTGACCTCGCAGTCATTGGAAGGGATAAAGTAAAGCAGATAATTTTACTGAATTGCATTGATAGGATCTTCTAACCCACAAAGCTTGTTTCTAAGCGGGTTTGCTGGTTTAAATATCACTTTAATCACAGCCATACTGAGAATTCTTGGTAACACTTCTGAGATGCCATCTGTGTGTGGAAACACAGTATAAGCTTTGAATTCTCTCTTTACCCTGTCACCATTATCACTACCATCATTACTACTACCAATCAAAATATTATTGATAACAGGTGTGTCACTACTACTGCTGCTGCTGCTTATATTTTTCTTTCGATTTCTTACGAATTTAATTATAAATTTACATGGATAGTTATTGAGATGCAAGGTATTTTTGTTTTCATATAATCTTTCAATCCAACAATGCTAGCTCACCTTTATCACTTTCCAAGTGATAGGCAAACTGAATTGCTTTCATTACTGAATGTGTGTCAAGAACGTAGCAGTTTTGTGATTTCATCACTGTAAATGTGTCATCTACATATTAGAACCATATCTTTGAAGTAGAACTAAGTTTTTGAAAGGTCATCCATTTCCAACTAAGTCAGCTGTCTTACTACAGCTACAGAATTTTCTGTCGCATTAGGTATAAATTGCTGTTGTTTTTGACTAAAGTTTGTGATTATTAATTCTGTTTCCTCGATTCACTAAGTTATAGTTGAGCCTAGCTTTTAACTCTTCATTTATTTCTACATGTTTAAAACGTGTCATATCACTCTACTACTACTACTACTACTACTACTACTACTACTACTACTACTACTACTACTACTACTACCAATACTGTATTTCACTTGTAGATTATTTGCGGCTGATGAAGGGCGGCAAAACAAAATGAGGTCATTTTATTGGGCAAATGTCTTTGTTCCTGCATTTTCCGAATTTGCCAAAGTAACTAAATGTGGAGTATGACACGACGTCCAACAAAACATACGAATATGAAATGGCTAGTGTAAAAAATGATGGTATAAAACGTATTTCGGGATTTCGACAGAAAGCAGACTTTTTTCAGTAATCTCTTGATCCTTCCTCCAAGCAGTGATGATTTTCACCTGTGTTTTCTCTTTTTGTTTAAACAAGAATTGAGTAGCATATTTTGGAGTTACTCCATCAAAATAATTATGAGTTGACATTAATCTTGATAGTTTGCTTGGCTGTGGCTAGCAGAAGAATCCAGTGCACACGTTTCATCCTATTTGGGACTCGTCAGCTGGATGCACCTGCAACCCAGTGCAGAATGGTGTTGTTCCCATTGGGGCTCGAACTCTGTACCCCCTACTCCACTGAAGCACGATAGCCCACTTCTTGTACAATGGCATTAATTATTACTATTTGTTGATATACTAGTTATTCGCCGTTTTAAAAAAATTAAAATCATATTGTATCATAATTAACATTCAGGCAATATTGAGACATCCTCATAGGAGCCCATTTGCTACTACAGGTTGAACAGTTAGATCCAGTAAACCAACGGAGAATAACAAGTATATCAATAAATAGTATTAACATTAATCTCTTGGAAATTATTCCAAAACTCCATTCAGCTTACTGAGATGTCGACAAAAAGCGTTTAGTTTAACAGGCATATTTACAACCTGATTGTTGATAGCCCTCACTGTATGAGAACGCAATCAAGCCAAAATATTTACTGAATTCATAAACTACGGTAAGTTTCCTTTACTTAATGTGTTTTATACGTGACGGTTGGCATCAAACCACAATTTCTAGTTCTAATTAAATCTTCAAAGTAGTATGCTTATATTTACCAGGTGATAATCAACAAATGTTAAATCCAGCAGTTTACATTTAGGCTTGAAATGAGAACACATTCTTTAGGTGTTACCAGATTCAAAGAGAAATGAATGAAACTATTATGGTGGTAACATCAAGAGAAATGTATAAATTTTAAAGTTTAGGACTTTATTTATGAAGGAGAAATGTCATTGTGGAACGTTCAACATTCTAATCTTTTGATGGCATGGTGTCCTCTGGGCTGGGTGATTTAATCGTGAATGTCAGAGAATTCTTAAAAGTTTGTCATTCAGGTCAGTCAGTAACCAACAGACATATTGACATCGACCCAACCTATCAACCATGAAGAAAAAACAAGATCAAATTTCAGGCCATCAGGAGAAGCAATCAAAATAAATGTGCAGACAGTGACAAGACCTCGACACAAACAACCATCACACAGACGGCCATCAGAACAACTACTACACAACTTGTGGAGAGAAAACTATAGCTCATTTCTTTCTGAAGATTGAGCTAACGACGTTGTCTAGAATGCCAATGAAAGCTTCATTGTTAAACCACCTACCTCAGAGGAAACAATGTCATCAAAATTATCCTCATGCTCTACAAGTATTCTCCAACGGTCGAATTTATCAATTTACAGGAAGTATTTTTTAAATGTAAAGCTAGTTCAAGGGTGCAGGAGCAAAAGGTATCAGTCCAGTTTTGTCGAAAGCAAGAAAAAGTGGGGAATTCGGTAGCTTATTGGTAGCAGCGGAAACGGAATATGTACTTCATCCTTTTAAACGGTCATAAACTGAGTGGACTAGGATCTAGTATGTGATAGGCTTTCTCAGGGGGTTGAAACTAACTGATTCATCACCCTAGTGAGTAACATAAGAGTATGAAGTGACGGTTAGTTGTTTTCAAATAGGTTTGTCAAGTCAGATCAACTCACTGAAAGTTTCATTTTAAAATGCGCCGAGAAAAGCCGATTGAGATCATTCTGTTCAGCAGCTCATACTCATTTCTTAATAAAAACTATTGTTTCGATGTCATAACAGGTTCGTCCAGCTGAAAAAATCCCAAACAGGACGAAAAGTATGTCCTGGATTCCACTGCTAACCAAAAGTCATAATTACTATAAAGATTGTCTTAGAAATAACCTCCAACCGTCACCTGAAGTTAACACATTGAATACTGAGGAAACATGAGACATTTTAATCACGTTACACACATACGTAGGGATTATTATCATAACGGTAAAAATGCAGAGGCTTGCATTCACTGAAATATTTACTTCGAAAAATCATCAAGCGAATGCTCTCTCATACCGGTAAGCGATTAAGTTTCATTCAAAATATCTGAAGCAACCCAACCAGCGACACTGTATGAGCCACTGGATGAAAGTGACAGCTAACAGAACTACCCTATAGGAAGAGAATTTGTCGCGGCGTTATTCCCATTTTAGTAAAATTTACACAACGGATGGTTAATTCACAAGTAAAATAAAGAGTACTTAAGATGTTTATGGTGTAATCTCATTTGAGTAAACCATTTAAAATCAGCTAACCAATTAAACTTTTATCTGACTATAACCATTAGTTATCTTCCATTACTCATAAAGTCCTGAGTACAAACTAATCACTAACCTCGAGAACTACGTAACGTAATTGAGTTTTCCCACCTAATAGTCGTACAACATTCTTTTAATTATTCTTACTTGTTTAGTAACAGAAAGGGAGGCTGTATCAGAATCAAATCTTTCTCGGTTAGTTGGTTAGAGGTAATGTATAGGAAACTGTCTAGTGTGCACCATAACGGTGAGCTTTCTAGCTTGGTGGTCACATTGTAAAATAGTCTATAGAATTCGGTTAGTATTTAACACCAGATGGAAACAAACTTTTCTTATGTTTTGAAGCTGGACATTCTCAACAGTAAAAATAGGATC